AACACACCAAAGTGACAGAAAATTTTATGAGGGTTTTCGTAAAAACTGGTTATTTATCAGCATTTTTAGGAAGTGTAGCCTTTTTTTTTTCTAGAACTGAGTTATTTAAATGGAAACGATGTTGACACTATATTTCTTAGGTCTTAGTTAATTAGATCTTAGATGCGTCCACTTTACCCCCCCCCCCCCCCCAGATGCACCATGATGTATAAAAAAAAAACCTTTGTATGTGAATCAGCCTCCACAATAGTGAATTAGACTGCGCAGACTTCAGGGGCGTAGCAGGGTGTGACCCCTGGTTCGGTTAAGTCATCAAATGTAGTAGTCCACCGTGTGTAGGGTGCTACTAAAACAAATTAAGCCGCTATAGTGCTCACTTTGGACCCCGGAGCACTCCACGTCACTCAACCGCTGGGCCTGAGGCACCCCTTTTGCAGTTTGATAGCTAAATCAAGCAGAACCCCCGAGCCCTATGCAGGATGCCCAATGAACGGATTCCTGGTGCTAAGAATGCTACAGGAAAGAACTGAATTGTACCCTTCTGCTAAGGTGACACCTTTCTAAAATTTAAGTATTTTTTTATGACAATCCTTCCCAGGAACATTCTTAATACCTTCCCAAAGATTTTGACGATTGGTTGAAAGGTGTAGTAAACGTAAATAAGTCAAACACACATACTTTTTATTTTATAGATATAAGACCTTTCATTTAAATCTATGTAGTATTTAATTTAAATAACAGCAAATAACAACAAACCAACATTTACAGCTCAATTTTCTGTAACATTTTATGAAGTTATGAAGGAAAAAAACCAAACATTTTTAGGATGGTTGCATTAATTGAAAAAATGCAATTCCTTGTCTTTAGATTTTTCTTTAAGAAGAAAAAAGGGGAAACATATCTATATAGATAACCTATTTGTTCAGTTAAAATGTTGGGATAAAGCAATAGAGTCCTAAAGTTTGGGCACTAGACCAGAGTCCATCACAAATCTCTGAACCCATATGCTGGCCTGATGTAAAAGAGGCAGGAAAAGTGATAGCGAAAGAACAGCACATTGCTCAAATCTTTGTTCTGGGACACTAAGTAATCTAAAACTTTACTATCCCTGCTATGAGATGAAGAAAAAAATGGTTGCCAAAAAAGTTGTTTAATATTTTAAAACACTATAAAAACATGCATGAAAAAAAATAAAACAGAAGGTCAAACTGAAGTTGCACGCATGTTTTCATTGTAGAAATGCAGATATCAGAGGCGTAGCGAGGGGGAGGGGGTGCGGACCGCAACGGGTAACACTATTTGGGGGGGGGGGGGGGACGGGACACAAAGGCATAAATAACAAAATATATACAGAAAAATGATAATTTCACTTAATTAAATTATTAATTAGAGTGAATTAAATAGTCTTTTAAAAGCAAAGTGGACAAATCCCGACACGGTGGAGGGATGGGGGGGGGGGGGGGATGACACCATGACGTAAACGTGCTAATGATAAAGAAAGCATGGATTATCCAACTGAATTTATAACCTTGAATGTAGATACAAATCGCTAATATTATCTGAGGTTGCAATATATATGCCTAAGGAAAACAGTTTGGTTGAGAATCGTAAAAACTGTATGTTAATCCAGGTATTGGGGAGGGGGGGGGGGGGGTAAAAAATTAAATACCTCCAGAAGAAAAAATATTTGAACACATATACACAAGTGTATACACATACTTACAAGTGTATATGGAATATATATATATATATATATATATATATATATATATATATATATATATATATATATATATATTTATATATATATATATATATTTATATATATATATATATATATATATATTTATATATATATATATATATATATATGTTTCCTACTAGGGTTGACACCATTAGGTGCCGCACCGGGTGACACCCAACCTCGCTACGCCACTGGCAGATATTATTCATGCATGACACTTTTTATTATATCTAAATAGGTCTTTAAAATAAATAAATTATACACAAATATGAAAGTCTTCGATGAGTGTAGGCTTAACATTGCAATAGGCATAACAGTATTCTGGTAATAACTAAAATATTGAATGCACTTAACCATCATAATGAGCAACACCCTAAAAAGTTATGGATTATTCAAACCACACCTAATTTGATACTCTTATTAAAAAAAAACTTATTTTTCTGCAAAACTCTTAAATGTTAAATTAAAAATTTACAACCTTTATTTCTTCACTTTAAGATTTAAGCTTGGGTAAAGGAAGAAAAAAAAAGTCAATCAAAATTATTGATATGTGCTGTTTAAAACCAATGTGTTCAAGATGTAACTGAACTATAAAACCATAATACATCTATTAAGAACAATTTTAAAAAGGGAACAGAAAAAAAATTGCTTCAGCTTTCAAAATCTTACTGTAGGCTATTTTGAATAGTTAAGGAACAAAACATTGCATTATAGTTTAGTCTACTTGTTAATATTTTCTATTATTTTTTTCACACCAAAAGCAACTAGGGAAAATGCTGCTGCCATGCCAAACAGTTTAGCATAGTGTGAAAGATTATTATTATATACATCAGATGATGAATCTAATGAGCATCCAATAGCACCATCATTGGCAGAAGGTATTGCATGGGTCAAAAGATCTTCAGCTCCTTGCTCATCTAATATGACTGCAGAACTTTCAGTACCTAAAGGTTATAGAAATAGTTGTTTTTTTTTATCTAGAAGTAATTGTAAAAATACCAATATGGCATATTTAAGATTTATTTTTCAATTTTTTTTTCAAAACTTTGATTTTCATTAACATAACTTTTTGAACAAAAAGTGAAGCATCCTCACTAAAATTTAAAATTGTTAGTTCACATATAGAAAAATGAAATGCCAAGGGAAAATTTTTATTGTCATTATTGTCATTATAGACTTCAGACAAGGTCACCTAATATTTTAGAAATTTGGGACTAACTGATTTGGTAATATTGTATGGTAGCCCAGAGGTGTAGCGAGGGGGGGGGGGGGGCGGGGCGGGGGTGCGGATCGCACCGGGTGACACCATTTAGGGGGGTGACACCAAGGCAAAAAATAGCAAAATATATAGAGAAAAGCTTGAAGGGGGGGGGGGGGCAAATCGAAAATTTGAGAGGGGGGGTGCAAATCGAAAATTTGAAAGTTTGTCCCCGGGAAGGGTCGCTACGCCTCTGGGGTGGGGGTGACACCATTAAGTGCCACACCGGATGACACCCGACCTCGCTACGCCACTGTGGTAGCCCACTAGTTATGCTTATAAAATATAGATATAAAATATAGATTTACTTAACATTCATTTAAGGTGGTGATGTACCTAAGCAGTGTTTACTTACTTATGTAAGAAAGAATTAGATTATTGTACTTTGAACAAGTTAACAGCATCACACAAGTCTGATGATGATTCCTATATCTTTTGTTCCCTATACCTAAATTAATTAAGTAATTAAATGTCTCCTTTTTAGTTTACCTTGAATATTAACAACAACAGTTGCTGTTATTCTTCCCTCATTATTTTCAGCAACACACATATACTCTCCAGCATCTTCATATTTTGCTTTGGGAATCTCAAGGTAATAAATACCTTGAGTCTCATACAGCTGCACATGTTCACTGTTCTTTAACATTTTCCCATTCTTTTCCCATGATATTTTTGCTTCTGTTTTTCCTAGATCTAGATGTGAATATTAGCTAGATTAGATAAAAACCCTGGATCAAAAACACCTTATAATACTCATTAAATTTACTACATCATTTCTTAAAGTATAGGCTTACATTTATTAAATACTGCAGAAAGCTAAATCTCAAATAGTAAATACAGTTAAATGCCAATTGATGCAATATAATAACAAAGACAATTGTTACAACAGAAAATTTCAGTATAGATCTACATTCTAGATCTATACTGACTATAGGTCTAATTATATCGTTATACCTGTTAGTGCACAACTGAGTTTGAGACTTTCATTTTCTAAAACTGCCATACTATCAGGACGTATAGAAAACTGAAGACTTTGAGCAGCAGAAATGGTGCTGTACAAATTATATATATATATATATATATATATATATATATATATATATATATATATATATATATATATATATATATATATTAGAGGCATAGATCTAAATATAAATATAAAATGTCAAAAAAAAGGGTCAAAGAAACATGATTGTTGATAGATTGGAGATGACTAACGTATAAAATACAATTGAATACTACTTAACTTAAAAATAACAATTTTACCGTGTTTAGTTTAGACCTATTTCTTTTTTTATACATTAGTGTAGGCCTATATAGTATATAATATATGCCTATATATGCCTACTAACCTCACGTCCAATGAGTTGGTAGTAGTAGTAGCAGCGACTATATTTACAATAAAATCTGAGTAAACTGTCCCTGCAGTATTTATCGCTGTTATTCGGTAGACACCGGCATCAGATTCTTCAACATGCTGTATTGTCATGCTATATACGTCGTCGTCTGTTATCATAGTCACTCTTTTCCCATCCTTGAGTTTCTCTCCATCTTTTGACCATGTTATTTCAGGTCTAATGGCTGCTAATAATAAAGAAAATAACGATGAGAGGTAAAAGCTCTCTGCATTTATTTGACTTCGAAATTCGAACAATTCAATACTTTAAAATTTTAATGGAAGTTCTTAATTATAATGTTGAACTTATTTACTTATAATACAAAGACTCGGAGGCGTAGCGACCCCTCCTGGCGCCCGGGGACAAACTTTCAATTTGGCGCCCCTCCCCCTACGGTGGTACACGAAATTAAATGATGAAACCAAGCCAACCAATGGCCGTACGCGGCGCCCTTGCGGTAGTTTAACCGGGAGCTCCCGAGAGCGCCTCGCTACATCGTTGACTCCAAATTGGTCGCCGAAGTGTGTTCTACTTCACTATTACGAAATTACGGCATTGATTAACGTACACTGAAGGATTTTATACAGCACGCCATGGGAAGTGCTGGGCGGTAGTGTAGACCAACCCGTGCCCCGACAAATTTAATATTTAATATTATCCAAGACATATATATAGCACTGGCATTTTGTTAACATTTAAATAACCAAGTTTTAGAAAACAAGGTTGCACGTCTGACAATATAGGATCGGTAACGCATTGATGAGACCCTTCTCAAGATATTGCGTCAGACTTTCATCTGAGACAGCGGCAACGCACGCTAGCATTGGATATTTCAGAGTTGAAATTACAAATTTAGTTGATTGATTGTTAAGAGCTTCAAACCATATTAATGCCATTTTCTTACTAACCTGTTAACTAATGTAACGAAAAGTCTATAAAGATAATTTGGATAGGGGTCATCCGTAAATGACGTGACGCTTTTTTTGGACGCTTTTTTTTACTCCCCCTCCTCTCTGTCAGATACCATATGCATTGAGTTTGGTATGTTTATGCTAATAATAGTACTTAGTGACGGATGAGATTGGCCTACTAACCTTCAACTCTTGCTTGTAGTTTCAAGGTTTTCCCTGCCTCCATTTTTACATTCTCCTCTGTTTGAAAGATTATAGGTTTCTCCATACTTGCACACAGGTTTCTAGATCTGTCAGTAAACTCTATTTCATTAGTCTCAGGTCTGCTGTCTTCCAAATATTTATCCACACTTGCCTTTTCATTAGTTTCTAATTTTTCTACCCAGCTAGTTTTGTGCACGTTACTGTTCTTTTCTTCCATAATAACATTACCCATTTCAGAAAATGAAGTGGTATTTGAACTTTTTGCATCTTGGGCGAACCGGGCTTTAGAAATGCCGATGTCTACACTGACAACAGAATCAACTGAACTCCCAGTTTCACTTTCTGATCCTATCACATCAACATCTTCAATGTAACTTTCTTCAGTACAAGTACTTAAATCAGTGGTATGCAATTCTGTAATGTCAATCTTTGTAGATTTCTTGTTATCTTCTAAATCTTTTTGCTTTAGTCTTGCATCTTTGCTTTCTTTCAAATCATTCTGTTGCAAACTGTTTCGAGATGCTAGAGTGCTCGATGTAACATTTTTAGAAGAATAGAACATTAAAGAATTATCCAGGATTAAACCCTCATCTTCAGAGGAAGACTGACTTGATGTTTTACCTGAAGAGATATCTTTTCCAGGAACTTTACCTTGGATTTCTTGTAATTCTGCTTCTTTTATTAATGTAGAAGATTTCACCTTTTCTGCTATCTCATATTTTTTCTCTCTCATGTCAACACTAATCTTCTTTGACTCTTCTTCAAATTTATTTGCAGATGTGGAAATCAATTCCGATTTTGTATCCATTAATTTTTCAATCGATTTCAAGTTTTGATTTTGCATCTCATCATATATATTTTTATTACTGTCTTTATCCTTTGTCTCAAAATAAGTTTCTGTAAAAGAAAAGATAGAAAAATAAACTGAAATTAAAATAGAATAGGTCATTTGATTCTATTAATAAAAAAACATTTGAATAGAAAGTGTTTTGTTTAAAAAAAAACTGCTAACAATAATCACAGTAGAAATACTTTAACCTCTCAGTGCTCTCAGTTGTCTTATGTTATAAAAACTGCAGAATAGTACACAAATTTTCTCGTTAATTATTGACTAAACAAAATGTAATATTAAATCAGAAGCGTCACTTCTTAGCGTTTTCTTTTTAGCCATGTAAATAGTTCATTATTATATATTTAAAGAAAATCATTTATTTTCTACCTTTTAATGCCTTATTAAAAAAAAAAAAAACTTTTTTTTGAAACGTTTCTAAAATGCATCAGGCATGTAATTTATATTATCAGTTTGCATTGCGTGACAGTTCGCCTTAGTACATGTAGCATACTCACATGCACCAAAATAGTTTATTTATACATTTCAATTTTAATTTATGTTCAACCGGAAAATTTAAATAACGTTATTAATCGGTGATTAGATGTAATGCGGAGAGTTTTGTATTACTTAAGTAATACTTCAACTTGCTTCCTCTGCCTGTCGTACTTTGTCATTAATCAAAACTAGCGAGCGAAATTTCTACCACTTCTAACCGACCAATTTCTGAAAGAAACTCTAAATCAGTGGCGTGCAGACCTATGTAGATGCCCGGGGCCAACTCAAGTGCAAGATGCCCCCATACGTTTATATATATATATATATATATATATATATATATATATATATATATATATATATATATATATATATATATATATATATATATATATATATATATATATATATATATATATATATATTTATATACAAGTGCAAGATGCCCCCATACGTTATATATATATATATATATATATATATATATATATATATATATATATATATATATATATAGGCCTATATATATATATATATATATTATATATATATATATATATATATATATATATATATATATATATATATATATATATATATATATATATATATATATATATATATATATATATATATAAAGCTTAATTAGAAATACATATAGAGAAGCATGTTTTTTTTGTACTTTTCTAGATGAAAATATTGAAAGCGGCTAAATTACAAGGAATAAACGACTCAAATGTATTAATCGGTGGAACTTCGGGGCGAGGAAATAGTTGGGGACATGTCGTGTGTGGGGGGGGGGGAGGGTGTATGCCATGTCCAACAAAAGAGTCTCATCCGGTTTTGTATTACCTTACGGGACCTCGGCCATAAAAAAAAGTTGTCCGTGTCTACAATTAGGGCGTCGGATACGCCTTTATTTATGGACTGCTTTTCTCTCGGCCTGCGAGGGCATTTCTACAGGGTAATTAATACAGGCGAGAGTGTGCATTGAACTTGAGATATTTCCCATTTGTATCTCTAAACGAGTCGGTCAAAACGTCAATGTTTTAAGGAGATGTGTGGCTAAACACTCTCAAACTGTTTGAACCTAGAATATAACAGACGTGAACCTTGGTTGGCTAAAGCTGCGAGCCCTACCACCACAACCTTAAAAAAAAAACTTCTACATCTGTCGGTGTGTAACCATTCACTGTGCTATGTCAGACTCTCCCTACAACTGTTTCCCCCACCCACCCCCACATTGCATTTAATCAATATGGGCACTACTCTACTATTAATTGAAATAAAAATGACTCTATAATGTGCCCCCAATAACTTTACAGATAGATCTACTAAGAATCAAAATACTTTAACTGAAACACTATTTAAAACATAATAATAACAAAGGGCACATTTATTCTGAACGATACCAATACACTGTATCGAAAACAATATTAAGTTGATGCTTATTCTTGGGGTTATCCTTAGATTTTATCAAAAACAATATCGGCATTCTTATTCTAAAGTATTCTCATATGCATGAAAATGAATAAATTCCGAGGGATGCCCCTACAATTTAACAAAAACTGTATGGGCGTTATTACACTACAAAAGGCCATGTATTGCACGAAAGGCGCCCCAAAAATGTGTAATAGTAATATGGGCATAATTCCCTTTGGATGCACTTAAAATGTATTATCATGAGCATGTAGATAAAAACGTTAAAATGTTCCCTAAAATAGCCACAATGATGATGGGTATAGTTACTATATAGATGCACTTTGAATTTAATATATGAATATAAGTATAATTACTTTCGAGATGCCGTTACAATATACAAAATGACAATGGGCATACTTACTATATGGATGCCTTTAAAATGTATTTTAAAGCCAAGTGGGCATATTACTGGATGCCCTTAAAATAAAATATAATGGATATCTATATATATAATTCTCTTCTGGGAGCCGCTAGAAAACAAGCTGCAAACGCGCCTAGAAAACAAGCTGTAAACGCGCTCCCTACCTCCCCACCCCTACATGGTTTTAGTGAGCTGTGTTCACTTTAACTGTTTACAAGCAGAGCCAACGATTTTAAACGTAGGGGGGGGAGGGGGGGGAAGAAAAGGGGGGGGGGGGGTTATGGTCCTTAACGAGCTACTTATAGTGTTTTAAAGAAATATTTTCAGTGGCAGCGTTGGTACTGTCGAATTCACAAATTTTGAATTACTGAAAAGTAGAAAAAACAACTAAATAGCGGCGTATGATATGCCGCGGGCCGGCTCGTACGAATAATTACTTTAAAGATGACCCTACAGTCTATAACAATAAATGTGTATATAATTACTTTACGGATGTCTTTGAAAATTAGTATAACGAATATGGGCATGATAATTACTTTAAAGATACCCCTTTAGTACAAAGGAATTATATGGGCAAAACTACTCTAAAAGATACCCCTACATCCTAATTATTTTCGCAGGATATCACATCACACGTGATACGGACTTTTGTTGAAAATAATATGGTAGATGTTGTAAATGTATAAACAAAATTTTATTTAAAGAAGAAAAATAAAAAATAAAGGCATATTCGAATATATAAAAACTACACAAAACCAATGGCGTCATCACCAATGTTAGAATACGAAGAAATGAACAATTTAATTAAAATTTAATTTAGATCTATAGATTTACTTATCGAGACGTAATTTATGAAATGTATATAGATTCCTCGGCCAAAACTAATACAAATTACTTTAAAAAAACAACAAAAATACAATTGAAAAGCCGGTTTTTTTAACGCAGTCATTTAAGTCTTTTAATCGATGTGTGCGTTTAATATGGTGTTGTGTTGACTAATTATGTATTGACTAATTATGTATATAATTTGGTTTTATCTTTTCTAATAGGTATTAATAGCCTATGTTATTTAAAATGTGTCGGACTTTTAGCTATTTAGTTATCTCTTTCTTTGTCACTAATATCGTTAAACCTGTAGTAAAGCACATTGCGTTTTGACCAATAACTATTTTATAAAATACGAGCCGGCCCGCGGCATAACATACGCCGCTATTTAGTTGTTGTTTTTTCTACTTTTCAGTAATTCATAATTTGTGAATTCGACAGTACCAACGCTGACAATGAAAATATTTCTTTAAAACACTATAAGTAGCTCGTTAAGGACCATAACCCCCCCCCCCCCCCCTTCCTCCCTCTCCCCCCCCCCCCCCCCCCCCCAACGTTTAAAATCGTTTCAAACTAAATTATCTGCCCCTAATAGTCGTCACTAAACCCGGCTCTACGATTGTAAACATAGCGTGAACCACAGCTCACTAAGACCATGTAGGGGTGGGGATGGTAGGGAGCGCGTTTACAGCTTGTTCTCTAGCGTCTCCCAGAAGATAATTATATATATAGATTTTTGTAAAAAATGTATACCATTAAAAATATATAGACCGATAATTCACGTGTAACGAGTACCAACGGCTAGTTTAATATAAAGACCGAATTTATTAAAGGAATATCAATGACTACCTTGTGAATACTCTTCGCTGACGCCCGCTTTTACTATGTAATTTTTGCGATACGGACTGTATAATGTCAAAACGAGGGATAGACGAATTAGTTTTTGATATAGGTGAGATTGGCAAATTAATAAATCAATCAGCAACATGTTTTCAATTACAAAAATTAAAAATTAAAAAATCCCTCCGATGGGAGCCCCCCCCCCCCCGTCCCTGGAGTGGATGCCCCAGGCCTGGGCCCCGTCCCCCCCCCCTCCGCACGCCACTGCTCTAAATGCGACTTTTGTCATGTTTGAGCTTAGGTGCTAGGTTTAGGGGTATGACTACGACTATATTTAGTATCAATGTGCAGTAACTACGCGTAGATACAGCTTAAATCCAATTAAAATGCCGATTCTGGGTAAAAATAAGTTTTCAGTGACTTTTTTCGTTTCGGTTAAATTTGAAATTGATGTAGTGATTTTGGTTTTGGCTTAGAGAAAAAGACAACACTATCAACCTAGCGCCGTTGTATTTCCCCATATACGGGCTATTTATCTCGTCTATTCTGTCAAGCTGTTGTGAACAATGTAGAGAAAATACAAGTAAAAACTTACACAGTCAAACGGAAAACGAAACGTGACGCCACATGGAAAATAAAGTAGAAAATATTTTAAAGCAGGAAAAATACACACAATAATATGACGTCATTGATTCTGGAGTAAACATACAATTAAAAGCCATTGCCCCCCCCCCCCCCCAAAAAAAATACAATAATAATGACGTCATGAATAATTGATAATAAAGACACTGACATTACCACCTAATTAATTTGTCTAATTATTAAAGAGGTTTGCGTGCAGAGTTTCTTTCCGGCATCTCTACGGACCCGGTAGAACGTCTAAGCCCCCCTCCCCAAAACGAAATATAACTTATATAGGAAATATATACTTTTATTTACCAAAAAAAAAAATGCGTGATTTAGGTTTAGCGGCCAAAAGTAGGAAACGGGTCTAGATTATGAAAGTAGGGTCTACCTTTAGTCTGTATGACCTAAAAATGCGATCAGTGTTTCTTTCAAAGCTACATGAAAAAGAATGACATCATTGATTAAAGAGTAAACAAGTCTAACGCCTAAAATAATGATGTCATTGATACTCGATAATAAAGACACTAACATTACCGCTTAAAGATACTCCGAATACGACTTTTGTCAAGTTTTAGCTTATGTACAAGGTTTAGGGTTATGACTACGACTATATTAAGTATGAATGTGCAGTAGCTACGTGTAGATCAAGCTTAAATCCAATTAAAATGCGGATTCTGGATTAAATCCATTTTAAATGACATTTCTCGTTTCCGGTTAAATTTGAAAATAAGGTGATTTGAAAATGATTTTGGTTTGATTTCGGTTTAGAGAAAAAGACAACACTATCAACTTAAATTTGAAAATAAGGTGATTTGAAAATGATTTTGGTTTGATTTCTGTTTAGAGAAAAAGACAACACTATCAACTTAGCACGAGTTGTATTTTTCCCTCAATAGGCCATTTATCTAGTTATAAATAATATAAATATTATTTCTGCCTTAAACTGATGATGCAGAGCAGCGGCGTAGCTACCGTAAAGCAAGCATAAGCAAGGCATGAGGACCCAAAGAACATAAAGGCTGTTTTCCAACTTTGAAAAATTATTACTTTTACAGTTTAACTTTTTGAATATTTTAGTAATATGTAATATATATATATATATATATATATATATATATATATATATATATATATATATATATATATATATTAAAAAGAGAATGGATATCAACTCTCGTTTCTGCGTTAGAGTCCGAAAGTCCTAGATGAACTCAAACGGAAGATTTTGATCTAATTTTTTGTTCGTAAAATTGTAAATTTAACTTGATTTTAAAATCTAGAAGGATCTGATTAATGTTCGGACATTTGAAACATTAAAAGGCCTGCCTCAAATCTAGGGGTAAATATTAATAACCCAAGTCGGAATGAGTTGCTACACACAATACTTTCTCCGGTCTTAGTAGTTTAACTATTTAGCAGATCTATATCTAGTGAAAGTAAAACTATTGAAACCACACACTGAATTTAAGGCTTATGTCGAAACTCCAGTCGAGACATTTACACTGCTACACATATTTGATTTTACTTTCTCGTATACGAAGTATAGAGAAAGTATTGTAATACATGCAACGAACAAAAAAATCGAGGTTTTCACAGATCTCGACGTTTTACACCTCCCTGAGTCGGAAAAACATAGTTTTGCAATTTTGTCCGTATGTCTATGCGTGTGTGTATGTATGTATGTATGTCTGTGAACACGATTACTTTAGTACCGTTAGAGATAGGTTGATGAAATTTCATATCTAAGTATTATATCAAATTTGTAGTTCTGTATCAACTTTTCAGCGATTTCCTATAACCGGAAGTGGAACTTATTCTACTTTCAATTTTTCAAAAGCCTATAACTTCAGTACTCTTTCAGATTGATTAATGAAATTTCACATGTAAGTACAAGATCTAATTCTCTGCCATCTGTCAAATTTTGAGTAATTTCCGTAGATCGGAAGTAGTGATTAACGCTATTTCCGATTTCTAAAAAAAACGTATTTAAATTTATAAAGTAGGCCTACTAATAATATTCCGCACTATTATACACATGTTGTTTGGCGTTTACTTGGTGCGCAATTCTTTTTTCTAAGAGATTTTATTCTATTTTAAAAAGTTTAAGTAATTGAAAATGAAATTAAAATCATGTCTATATCCCGAGTTGCCATCCCCAGTAGTGTTATATAAGAATATTCGAGAAAGTTTAGGGGAGACCACTCCTGGTTTATTTGTTGTTCACTTAGTGCGCAATTCTTTTTTCTACGAGATTCTATTCTATTTTTTTTAAGTTTAAGTAATTAAAACTGTATTAAAAATCATGTCTATATCCCGAGTTGCCATCCCCCGTAGTATTACACGAGAATATTCTAGAAAGTTTAGGGGAGATCGCTCCCGGTTTATTTTTTGGTTAATTCTGCTAATAACACATTTAGTTAACACACTTTCTTATAGAGAGAGAGGGGGGGGGGGCGGAGGGAGGGAGAGAGAAAGGGAGAGATAAATATAAATAATAAAAAAGTTTCCCTTTCAAACCTGACGGTCTATGGGGCAAGTGAAGTAGAGTTCACTTGTTTCTGTGACCTCGAAATATGAAGAGATAGTGTGGTCAGCACTATGCCCAGCCGCATTTACTTTCCCTAACGTCAGTTAGGTACCCATCAGAGTTGGGTGGACTCAGGGACGGATTCGAAATTCGAGACAGGTTAACAGTCCAGCTCACTACCGCTACCGCAAGACCACTCGTCCCGTGAGATAAATATAGATATATTATAATTATCGAGACTGTATATTTATGCTGAGAATTTAAATGATGATTTCAGATAATGAAGTTAAACACATGGATTTTTCTTTGTTTTATAAGAATATGAATGAAGGAATGAAAACTAACCAAAAGTTTGTTCAATGTTTTCTCTGGAGATTTTCTTCCTCTCTCTGTAGACGATGAGTTCATCAATCTGCATGGAGTGGATAGACCTGCTGGTTGTCTCACGTCGATCGTCTCTACATTCTGTTAATTGAATAATTAATAATACTGAATTCTGTTGTTTTTTTTTACTTAAAGTAATTGATCACTAAGAAATTTGAAAAAAAAGAATAAATCCAAAACATCTTAACAAAAAAAGGGGCAGTACCTCGAACGAGGAGATAAGCGGATGTTGAAGCTAGACCTTCAGAATTCTCAGCCCTACACCTAAAACAAAGGAATAAAAAGTAATAAATATATAAAAAATAATCTATCTATTTATATACAAAAAACTCGAGAAGTTTCTACATTTATTTATTTTTGTTTGTCGGTTCCGCTTGATCTACACTATAATTTGTAGAATTGTAAAATACGCATTTATCTAGATAAGAGAACAAAGTTATTTTCCCAAAATGATATACACAAATTAACTTTAAGAAGTTAATATATATATATATATATATATATATATATATATATATATATATATATATATATATATATATATATATATATATATATATATATATATATATATATATATATATATATATATAAAGCAATGAATGCATGTGTGTGTTTGTCCGTCTGTTAGTCTGTTATGCATTACTACACATTTCATACGATCGCAATTAAACTTTGGGAGGTTGTTGAAAATACTCCTGGGGAGGATTTTGTGAAAAAAAAATTCTAATTCGCTGGGGTGGCAATTCTGTTCTCTATATACGATCATTTAAAAAAAATTAAAGGTGATTGCTGTTGACACCGTTCATCCGATTGCCATGAAACTTTGTGGAGTTGATTAGAACGCTTCAAGGGAAGTTTCGCAAGGCGGCACACCGGGAGGGTGCGATTTTTCTCTGTAATTAAATTCGGATGCTGTTCGACACCGTTCATACGAATGCCATAAAGCTATCACATGAGCGCCATGGCACCTACGTTTGTTTTAAACAGTGCGATAGACTATGGAAAAGATTTGGGTATTGTAGTCATTCTATAGATTGAATTAGGCGCGTCCGCCGGCAACCCGGTAGAGTGCGATTTGGCGCCCCGGGCTATCAAGTGAGCACTGTGGCGCCTAAGTTTGTTTTAAGAATCACCCTTCACTATTGACACGGTGGCAAACGACATTCGATGAATAACCGAGCTAGGGTCCGTATGCCCCCCCCCCCTACGGTAGTGTGACCGGGGGCTTCGAAAGCGCCCCTCTACGTCCCTGACACCTGGGTTGTCATTGAACTGTGTTCTACCTCACTATAACTGAGAGTTCTTAACGTACATTCAAAGCTTTCATCTGATCGCCATGAAACTGCGTGGAATCCGTATGAACACTAAAGGGGGCTTTTCTGCAAAACAATCTTTCTTTTAAATTTCGCAAATGCTTCTCCCCGGGAAGTGCAATATGGCGTCCAGGGCTATCCTATGAGTGCTTTAGCGCCTATGTTCGTTTCAAACAGTGCGATATACTATGCATAAGATGGGGTTTACACATTTTTTTTTATGGATGATATTAATATAGTTAAAAACTTGACTTGATCGCTATTGTGTAATATTCTTTAAGTGTCAATTTTCGTACAAAAATCTAGATTGATGATTTAAAAACTCATTATTGATCATTTTCCAAACACATTTTTAATTTCCAACATACCATGATAATTAACGTAAAATGTTAATAATAAAATCACACTAAATATATTACCCTTCACCAAAATACAAATTTTGTTATAAAAAGTATACCAATTACGTCCCATTTGAATCAATTACTTGCCTATATAGACTTACTCAAAATTAATTCTTCAAAAAATAAATAAATACTTATTTTTGTGTGTTTTCTCAAACATTCATATTTGCATATGGATATTGAATTGGAAAAATAATGCCTGGTATATGCTGCTTAATAGCACATACGCCACGGTTCTTTACAGATAGGATCAAATAACATAATATAGTAAAATAACATTTAAAAATCTACCTGTAGTGTCCTTCATCTTCAGCTGTGATGTTTGGTATAACGAGAGAAATTACTCCGTCGTTGGTAAAATCAAAGTTGTAGCGGGAGCTATTGGTAATATCTTTTCCATCTTTATACCAGGTTATAGTTGGCCTGGGATAACCATTGACACGACATTCGAAATGTTTAGTTCCTCCGACGTGGTGCTCTGTTTGCGATGGCATACTGGACAGACGAGTTCACTTTGGCTGAATTGAACAAAAATAACAATGATGCATTTTGATATACTCAATATGTATTCAAGTTATTCCGTGCACAATTAGTTAGCGATAGAGGCGTATGCAGGGAGTTTTGAAGTTGGGGAGTAGCGATTTTTTTTATTCCAAAAAAGTTTTCCGAGTATAATTCTTAATTGTCTAGTACGCGACGTAAAGAAATCTTGTAATCGTGCAAAAAAAAAAATGAAATAAAGTTTTCACAAATGTTGACGTTTTACACCTCCTTAAGTCGGAAAATGTTTTTTCCGTCTGTCTTCGTGTGTGTGTACGTGAACACGATAACTTGAGTACCGTTTCACAGCTAGGTTGATGAAATTTCATATATAAGTATAATTTTAAATTTCTGTTTCCGGTAACCAGAAGTGGAACATATTTTACTTTCATATATAAATTCATTTGTAAATTTTAAAAATTCATATGTAAATAAAAGATCTTATTTTGTCAAATATTGAGTGATTTCCGGTGACTGGAAGCAGTACTTTTTCCGATTAAAAAAACGCATATGAATTTATTTTCCTTTGTCTTTTGTCCGTCACGGTTGGAAAACGGAGAGCAAAATTTCAAACACCTCTACCAGACAGTTATTTTAAACTTTTCATGTTAGACTTGAATAGAATGTATTGTGACAAAAATTGTTGCTTAATTAGATAATTATTATACACACATTGTTTGCTGTTTGGTGTGCAATTCTTTTTTCTACGAGATTCTTATTTTTTTAAATTTAAGTATTTAAAAACTAGCCATCGGTACCCGTTACTCGCGAATGATAGCCAATAAAATTTAAATGTTTGAGAAAAATAATTTCTAAAATAGTTATGGTCAAAACGCAGTGTGCTTTACTACACGTGTGAACAATATTAGTGACAAAGCAAAGAAATAACTAAAAATCTGAAACATTTAAAATAACATAAGCTAACATACCTATTAGAAAAATTAAAACAAATTGTATGCACACACTGATTAAAAGACTTAAAAGATTTTGTTAAATACCCGGCAGTTCGATAGTAGGCCTATTTGTGTTGTTACTTTCTCGTATACGAATTATAGAGAAAGTTTTGTAATCTTACAAAAATCGAACTTCACAATCTCGACCTTTTACTTACACCTTCCTGAGTCGGAAAAACATAGTGTTGCAATTTTGTGCGTATGTGTGAGTGTATGTGTATGTGTGTCTATGAACACGATAACTTGAGTGCCGTTACAGCTTGCAGGTGCTGTTTAAGCTTGGGCGGGGCCCGGGTTGAAACATTTTGGGGGCCTCTGATATATGTATATATGTATATATGTATATATGTATATATGTATATATGTATATATGTATATATGTGTATGTATATATATATATATATATATATATATATATATATATATATATATATATATATATATATATATATATATATATATATATATATCCTATTCAAGATAATAATCGATTATTATAACTTATAAGAACATTCGACACCAATATCTACAAAACTTAAAAATTTAAAAAGCTGTCAATTATGTTCAATGAGCGGCAAATTGAATTCAAACAGGCTAACCAATATGTACTCATTTGTTTAGCAAGATTATAATTATGTTGCCCCAAGCACCACAACACACACGGTGATTTCTTATATTCTCAAGATAAAACTATCTTAGTCACCAAAGAAATTAAAAGCTAATTAATTGGATCTAACGGTTTGTTGCCTACTGTGATTTTTTGAAAAAAATTAAAAGTTACGAGTTTACAACAGGTGGTAGTGGTAGAACGCACGATTGCTAACCTAAAAGTCTGAGCTCTGATCCTAGGCTCAAATCGGAGAACACCATACGCAGTTTGGTACCTCTCATATTTTTAAACTAAAGGCATAGATCTAGAACTGATCAGAATGTCTTATTTGCTGAGAACAACTAATTATGTGACATTCTACCTAATAATCCCTATGATCATTAGGCCCCAATGGGCAACTAAGAAATGAATCTAGGGAGTTTAAATCCATACTAACTAGATGTTTATATTCTGTACCTTAAAAATGATATCCGAAACCACTTCTAATAATAAAAATATAAAGCACCTTTCATACCTTTCTCAATAGGGTAGCAGGTAAGCAAAGACGTTCAGGCAGTTTTTCATTGATTGCTAGGGTTAGTCTATAATGTTGCTTGTCTAAATGCTTGCGAGTGAGAACTAACTCACAATGTATGCCTAACAATATGTTTTATTTTAATTTTATCTGACAAAACAACTTTCAAGTGATGTGCAATATATAAAGTACTGAAAAAAAATTCATAAAAACGTTTTAATAACAAGCTTTTATGTAATAATGCACTAAAAAGTAGAAAATAAATTATAGACTACTATTTAATTAACTGTATAGAAAAGCGTGGATCACTTTAGTATCTATTGGATACCTTTACTAATGTTAAGGAAGACACCCACGCTTTTCTTTATAGTTATTTAAATAGTAGTCTATAATTTATTTTCTACTTTTTAGTGCATTATTACATAAAAGCTTGTAATTAAAACGTTTTTTATGAATTTTTTTTCAGTACTTTATATGTATTATTTACAATAGAGTTACATGCCTAAAAAACATTGCGCGTCTATTGAACGTGATGGCGCAGCTATTGAACGTGATGACGCGTGTGGTGTGGTTGGATAGACATGCCTACTAATTCGGTCCAAATTTTAATTAATTCATAAAAAATTAATTAGGCATCCAATTAAGTCAAATTTAATTTCAGATTGCATTGTCTTCATGTCTTGACCCCCGTGCCAAGTGTGAACCGTATCGGTCAAGTAGAAGTGTCCGAATTTTCACTCCGGCGTTTCGGTCTAGACAGACTTACGACAGACTAACGACTGACGACAGACAGACTGTCGAGGAAGTGAGTTAAATAAAAGCTTGTAAAAAGGCGTCAATGATAAACTCATTTGACAGATTCTGCCGCTGTTTGTGTTTTTTAACTCTAAAATTAACACATTTTATTGTCATAAGCAAACGCTGTCCGGACTATTTAGTTTAGGTAGCGTCGGCTTTACGTAAACAATGTCTGGGTAGGAGTCGATGACAGCTAGTATTTATACTAGATTGGGTGCTCACGTTTGATATTTGGAAAAAAATGAAGTAAGCTTCTGATTCAAATATTAAAGCATTTTTTTATAGTAAAAAAAAACACACCAATATCTCTTTGAAGTGAAATTTACTATAATTTGAAGAGAAATTTGGGAGCCCATAAAAATGAAGGCCTCGGGCTGCAGTCCTCTCAGCCCCCCCCCCTAAATCTGCCACTGACAGCTAGGGTGATGACATGTCATATATTAGTATTATATCAAATTTGTAGCTCTGTATCAACTTTACAGCGATTTCCGATAACCGAATATGGAACATATTCTACTTTTGTTTTTTAAAAAAGCATATAACTTGAGTACTGTTTCCGATAGATAAGCGAAATTTCACATATAAGTAAATTTTCTATTTGTCTGCCTTTTGAGTAATTTCCGTTGACCGGAAGTAGTACTGTACGCATATGAATTTATAAAGTACTAATATTCCGCACTATTATACACATATTGTTTGCCGTTCACCTGGTGCTCAATTCCTTTTTGTACGAGATTCTATTCTATTTTCAAAAGTTGAAGTAATTTAAAATTAATATCCCGAGTTGTCATTCTTCATGGTGGTATATTAGAATGTTCGAGAAAGTTTCGAGAAAGTTCAATGGAGATCACTCCCTTTTTACTTTCTCGTATATACGAAGTATAGAGAAAGCCTTGTAATCGTGCACAAAAAAAAAATCGAGATTTTTGCAAATCTCGACGTTTTACACCTCACTGATACGGAAAACATAATTTTGCAATCTTGTCCGTATGTCTGTGTGTATGTGTGTATGTGTGTCTGTGTGTGTGTCTGTGTGACTGTAAACACGATAACTTGAGTACCGTTACAGCTAGGATGATACAATTTCATATATAAGTATTTTATCAAAATCGTAGATCCGTATTAACTTTTCAGCGATTTCCGATAACCGGAAGTGGTACTTTTTTTTACTTTGAATTTTTCCAAACCCTATAACTTGAGCATTATTTTAGATAGATTATTTTAGATAGATCTAATTCTCTACCTTCTGTCAAATTTTGAGTAATTTCCGTTGAACGGAAGTACTAATTTACGCTATTTCCGATTTCTCAAAAAAAAATTATAAAGTACTAATAATATTCCGCACTATTATGCACATTTTATTTGGCGTTCACTGGTGTGCAATTCTTTTTTCTACGAGATTTTATTCAATTTTTAAAAGTTTAAGTATTTAAAATGGATTTAAAATCATGTCTATATCCCGAGTTTCCATCCCTGTTTTTTATATAAGAATATTCGAGAAAGTTTAGGGGAGATCACTCCCGGTTTATTTTATTTACTTTCTCGTATACAGAGTACAAGGAAAGTAATTTAATCGTTCACAAAAATCACATGAAATGTTGACAGTCTTCACCGTTTTACACCCCAGTACTTAATCTTATATGGAGTATAGAAGGCTTATTTCAATCGGGCGAAAATTCTAAATCTAAATCCAGTTTTATAAAATGTCGGTGTTTTACGCCTAATCGAGTCGGAAAATACTGGGCTTTGCAATTCTGTCTGTGTGTCTGTGTGGATCTGTGGGTCTGGCATATATAAGTATTATATCAAATTTGAAGTTCTTAATCAACGATTTCAGCGATTTTCAATAACCTTTTCTATTTTTGATTTTTTTAAAAGCCTATAACTTGAATATTTCAGATAGATAGACGAAATTTAACATATCAAAAGCAGTGGAGTGCAGACCTATGTAGATGCCCGGGTCAACTCAATAGGAAGATGAAATATAATACAAATAGAGAAGCATTTTGTAAATTGTACTTATCTAGATGAAAACATTGATTGCGGCTAAATACCAAGGAATGATGAACAACTCAAATGCCTTTATGGGTAAAACTTC